CTTTGGCTCAGGTCATGATCCCAGGGTCCTGGGATAGAGCCCCACATCGAGCTCCACCTCGGGCTCCCTGCTGAGTGGGGAGCCTGCTTCTCCCTCTCCCTCTGCTGCTCCCCCTGCTTGTGCTCTCCCCCTCTCTCTGGCTGTTGAATAAATAAATAAAATCTTTTAAAAAATCTAAAATTTAATTTTGTTAATGGATAAGAATACTCAATGTTATAAAGATGTTAATTCTCTCTAAATTGTCCTATAGACTTATTGAAATCCTAATAGAACCTCCACCTTGTGTATATGTGTGTGTAAAACTTGACAAGCTAGTTCTAAAATCCATGTAGAAGAACCAAGAGTCCCAGGAACAGCCAAGACACTGTTGAAGAACAAGGTAGAAACTTGTCCTACCAGAGTTATTACAAAACTATAGTAATTAAAACAGTAGGGCATGGATGAATAGACCAAGAAATTGAATAGAGAATTGATCCCAGGCCTAAAGGAAATGTAACTAGGGGAGATCTGGGATTGCAGATTAGTGGGGAAATATGAACTATTAAATAATGTTGTGATAACTGGTTATGCATATTAACAAAAAAAGAAATTGAACTCCTATATTAATCCACTTACAAAAATTGATTCCTGGGGTGCCTGGGTGGCTCAGTCAGTCAAGCGTCTGCCTTCGGTTCCAGTCATGATCTCAGGGTCCTGGGACCGAGCTCCACATTGGGCTCTCTGCTCAGCAGGGAGTCTTCTCTTTCACTCTCTCTCTCTCTCAACTAAATAAATAAGATCTTTAAAAAAATTGATTCCTAGTGACTTAAATGTAAAAAGTAAAATTATAACACTTTTATTTATTTTTTTTAAAGATTTTATTTATTTGATGCAGAGAGAGAGAGAGCACAAGCAGAGGGAGCGGCAGGCAGAGGGGGAGGGAGAAGCAGGCTCCCCAAGGAGCAGGGAGCCCGATGCGGGGCTCGATCCCAGGACCCTGGGATCATGACCTGAGCTGAAGGCAGTCACTTAACCAACTGAGCCACCCAGGCGC